ATGAATATCTTTCCGTGATTCCCGAGTTAATAGTTTACCCGCCAAAATTTTCACTAGCCCGTAGGTAGTACCGAGAGCGCGAGAACGCTGAATTTGAATGGGCAAGGTTGAACGCAGGCAGGGGGACATTACCCTAAAATTTTAACCTCCTAGACTCCGTGGCTCTCGAGATATTAATTTACCCGTAAAAAGCCTTCATGGGGCTGTACGTTTTACCCGCGGGTACGGGAAGGCTGAATTTAAATTTGTCGCGTCACCCGTTGGCGGGGAACATTATACCAAACTTTCAGCCGCTTATCTTTTGTGGTTCCCGAGTTGAAAGTGCGGGACAAAATGTGGGACACACACAAACACATATACAGACAACCCCGTGACAATATGCTTTTGTAATGCTTTTACACAGCACAAACCTCATAAAAAGCAAAAAAATACCGAGACTTGAAAACAAACCGAAACTCAGCGCTAGGTCTGGCAGCAGCTCCAAGTTGCCATCGTACATTATGCAAAAGACGAGAGCGGCAGCAGACGCCGCACAGTTAGTTAGCGCGCAAAAACAATCACCATTTCATTTCTAATCACATTATTACATATATAACGAAAGGAGGGAACTTGAGTCAGGAGACGGGACATTTGCATGTCACATGAAATCGAAAGGCAACTGGGCAAGGCAAAGGGGTTTAGCAGGCAGCTTCGTTTCCTTGCTGTTAACACCTTGTTCCCTCTGCAACACATTTCCCTGTTCATTCCCACTCTTGTACAATTATTTGGCGCACAAAAACAATCATCACTTCATTTCTAATCACATCATTACATATATAAGGGAAGGAGGAAACTTGAGTCAGGAGACGAGACATTTGCATGTCACATGGAATCGAAGGACAACTGGGCGGGACAAAGGGGTTTAGCCGGCAGCTTCGTTTCTTTGCTGTTAACATCTTGTTCCTTTTGTGGTATTTTTTCTAGTTCATCTTCACTCTTTTTTGAGTTTTAGAGAGAGAGGCGCTGGTAAATTGGACGAAACGGTGGGTTCGTTC